GGAAAGTAGACAGAGAGACAAGGCGTGGCAATAGAGCATCCTCAGAGTGCTCAACAGAAAAGAATCTGTGTGGTTGGAGTGGGGAGGCTGGCTTGCTGGGAAGGAGCGGGCGGGCATGTGTAGGGCATCTTCAGTACACTGGGGACTCTGCTGAGTATTTGCACTCAGTCACCCTAAGCATGCTATAAAACAAATAAAGTGTCTCTCAGTTCCCAATTGAGAAAACTGAGCCTTGGGGAAGTGAAATGAACTGCCCAAGGCCATAGACAAGCCAATCTGAACTCCTGGTTTCCTGAATTTTCTTCCTTACAAGCTCTATCACCAGAGACAAACACAAAAATATAGTCGGGGCCCTACGAGTAATGTCACAGCGAGCTGGCGCTTGGTGCTGAAATTGTAGGAAGAACCATCCCTTGAAGAGATGCCCTATAGGGAGAAAATAAGTGCTGTCTGCGCCTTGTTGGTGCAATGGCCTGGGAGCAGGGCACCCAAGACCCAGTTCTGTTTGGATGTGTCCCCAATTTCCACACAAGAAGTGAGATCCAAGAGCTGACTGAAGCGGGCCAGCGTGGCTGCAAACCTTGGATGGTGTCAGGCACTTCATTGAGGATCCTGACTGTTCCCCACTAGTGTTTTTCCTGGGGACAGGAAATTCACTTTCAAGGGCTGGAAAAAATGCAAAGTTGAGCAGTGGTGATGCACGCCTTTCATCTCAGCACTCTGGAGGCAGAGGCAGGCGGATCTTTGTGAGTTCAAGGCCAGCCTGGTCTACAAGAGCTAGTTCCAGAACAGGCTCCAAAGCTACAGAAAAAAAAACCCTGTCTCGGAAAAAAAAAAAAAAAAGCAAGAGCGAAGGACCACGACCAGCATATTCACGAAAACTTTAGTTGGATGCCAAGAAGATGTCTCCTGGCCAAATTTTTATTAATGATAAAGATAAATATAAATGATTATGCTGTCAACGACTGGGAAAATTCTAGAGATCATTATTAAGTCTGTGGTTTGTGAACACTGACTAAAGAAAGAAAGGGTCACTGAGAGAAGAGCGGGACCACAGAGAAAGTCCCATTAAATGCTGCCCCTCTGTTCTGCTTTGTAGTAGTAACTAGCAATGCAAGCATTCAGGAGAGTGGAGAATGCCTGGGTTTCAAGTGGCCAAATGGTTTATGGGCCAGAAATTGTGGCTTCTGGTAGACTGTAGGCAGCCCCAGTTATTCTTGGCAGCACCCACCTTTCAAGTGTTCATATTTGGGAAATATTCTCAATTATTTCTTCTTTAGGGGACTAGGGTGGGAAGCTGTGAGAGCTGGGCTCTGTGGGGGCGCCATGGAGGCAGCACACAGGCTCTCAACATCCGGCCTTGGCACACTTGGTAAGCGAAGAGATGGAAGAGCAAGGCTCAGTAGTTAGAGCCATAGTAAAGCGATGCTGTCTAGTTTGTTTTTTAATCTCAACTCTTCTACTTGCTAATGTCTAGGGCCAGTTAATAAATGTCTTCCTCATGCCTCAGTTATCCCATCTGTGAAATGGAGATGCCAATATTAACCTGAAAGGTTCTGTTAGCAGTAAATGAGGCGTATGTGGAAAGGCTTGGCCCCCCATCCCGGCACACAGGTGCTCCACAAATGTTAGTCTTTATTACTATTAGGGATGACAGATTGCCGCCTGGGGGAGCGGTTAGCTAAATATATCCCAGGATGGAAGGGCGGCAGCTTGGTCCAGTGAGTTATTCATCAAAAGTGTTGATGTAGACTGTCACTGAAGAGAAATGTGGAAATATGAGGGCTTTCTCCCTGGCGATGCCGCTGACAGAAGATGGGAGAGTTATTTCTCCTCTGACACCAACCAGTTCTGACACTATGGGAGCTTCCTGCGGTGTAAGGCAGTTTTGATGCTACACAGAGGTTAGCAGGAGACTCCACAGGTTGCTGGTGTGCTCACTCAAGATGGCCCTTTACGGTGCATAGAAGAAGAAGAAGACCCGTTTTGAGGACGCGTATGTTTAGTGAGTCTCTGGTTTTATTCCAGGTGTGTCAGATCAGAAGTGTGGGTTGTGTGGAATGATGAGGATTATAAGGAATCAGAGTCCTGGTAACCCTCCTTTGACTGCAGCTTGGGAGAAGGAACAAGCCTGGGGATATTTCACACACTTGATTCTCATTCAGTCTGGAGTTCGCTGCTCTAAAACTCCCAACCCTTTAGGGAAAAAGTAGCTGATGACATCGTATTTTATATTAGTAGGGAAACTGGAGAGTTAGGTAACCCAGGAAGACCCTGAATTTTGCATTGAATGCATTAAATCTCATATGCAAATAAATGATCCAGGAAATTGCTTGTTGGTAAGGAGATAATCCAGCCATTGACCCTTCTGTAGTATCATGAACAAGGCAAGCCGGAGAACTAAAACCTCCCTCTGTGACTCTGTCGGAATCGGAAGCACTGTACAGAGGACGACTTTATATCTCCACGGTGGGGAGAGGCATCATCCTTGTCTCTAGACGCACTAACCCAACCCCCTAAAGCTGTCTGTGCTCAAGACCTGCTTCACTTTCGAAAACTATTGAGGATCCAAGGAGTGTTGGTGTGGACTTGTTATAGCTCTTAGTAGTTACCGTCTTACAACGTGAAACTGGGAACTATAAAATATCCTATTTCAATTTCTTCATTTAAAAATAATAATAAATCTATGCATGTTACAAAAGCATTTTATGAAAAATAATTTTATCTTACAAAATTTTATCAAGAGAAATTTCATAGTTTTACATTTAGAAGATTTATTTTTGCTTTTAATTGTGTGCAGTGTGTGTGTGTGTGTGTGTGTGTGTGTGTGTGTGTGTGTGTGTAGGCATGTGCATATGAGTGCAGGTACCCCTGGAACCCAGAGGTGGTAGATCCCTCCAGAACTGGAGTTACAGGCAGATGTGAGCTTCTTGATGTGGGTGTTTGGAAACAAACCCCAGTCCTCTGCAAGAGAAACACACGCCCTTAACCACTGAGCCATCTCTCACCCTTGTATATTTTTTGAAGATATCTTTACAATCTAGTTAACCAAGCATCTGGACTCCAATCAAAGTTCTATATTTGATCGGCAGTGATAGGTATATCTCACTATCTCACTATCTTGATCTGGAACTTCTGACCACATGTCTTTAGGAGAACGAGTAAGAAACAATGTAATCTCTGTCTCAGTATCCTTACCAAAGGGTCATGGCCCCATGTGTCTCTGGGTGTTTAAGGATAGTTGCCCTACGCTCTAGGGGGGGATCTCCACGCCCGTGCCTCCAACAAGCATTTGCTGCCTCTCTTTCATGTGCCTGTGGAGGGACCTCGGCTGGTAAAGAGCTGGACAGCCTCACTTACTCAAGCAGCCTCTTCCCAAATGTTTCATAGAATTCAAATCCCTCCAAATAAAGGGGAACTAAAAGGGCACTGGATAGTCTACGCAACCACCTGTTTGCAGCTGGCTGATCCAAGGGGGTTGACAGCAGAAGAAACTGGGACTGAAACTTGTTGGTTTAGAGGGAAACAGGAATTATTTCCCCAAATCACAAAAGTTAAGATTTCTACGTTACACGATTTTAAATGTACTCAATTCAGGTTTCCTATCACCCTTAATACTGGGTGATGGGGCTGGGGTGGAGCAAGAAGAAAGACAGCTCCTTGAAGGCAAGGTTGTGTCAGACACATCTCTCCATCCTCCCTGCCTTCCAGTTTTATAGAAAGCAGAGGAAAGCTTTTCCCTCGGGAGCCTTCGGAAATGCAAGAGACCCACTTTCTTCTAGTCATGGTCTTGGCTGGAGAGCTGAAGCCGTCTGAGACCTGACACTACTAGGGTGCCTCACAAGGATTCTTTATTCTTCAAATCAGAAGCTCAGGGGTCCTATTGCCTCTGATCTCCATGAGGTGTCTGATTTAGGAGAAGGGCCACCTGAAGAACAGATCAGGCACACCTCTGTAGGTATAAGTCATGCCTGTGAGAAAGAATGCATAAATACAGGAAGCCCCCGATGCCCATTAGTAGTGACTCACTCAGGGTAGGTGAGGGCCTTCTGTTTCTAGGCCAGCCATTGTTGCCAAGATCATCTTTCCTCCTCATCGAACTCTGTCACACTCAAATATCCATTATTTCCCACGCACCCTGGCCATGCAGTTCTGCGAGGAGATGGGTGTGGCTCTTGCTGGAAGAGGCCAGTCCCAAGGAAGTAAAGGTCATTGTAGCTAATGCACGGGGCAGGGGAAGCTAGGCATGCCTGCTTACTGATTCTGCTGGAAAACTGCATAAAGCAACCCCTTAGAGTCAGACTCCTTGTTGGGACTTTGCTTTCTCTTTTTGAATTGAATTTGAATTTGGGAGTAATTATAGATTCACATGTAGCTGTGAGAAATAATACAGAGAGATTCCCTCCTCGCCGTTCGTGACTCTCCCCCAGGGGCAGCATCTCGTAAACTATACCACAGCATCCGAATGGGGGCTTTCCCGAAAACTCCCAAGACGTTGCTGACCCCCAGACCAAGATGCTCTGGGTAATGAAAGCTGTTTGTCCTTGAAAGGAAGGGTCACAGCTAAGAAACTGGAGGGTGACTGTGGATGTCAGGGCAGCCCAGGCAGAATTGTCGGATTGGATATAAGAATATAATGGTGCTTTTCATCTGCCTACCAGGCACCTATGTTGTGAGAGCATCCGAAGGGGCAACAGAGCCACATGCTACACCTCGGGTCTTTCTTCCTGTTCCTTTAAAGCCCATGGTGCCATCTTGGGGACACCCATTCTAACCCTAATCACCTTCAAGTATCATTAACATTAAATGTGTTAAGTGTCCAGCACCCGTGTTCATAGGGGGCATGTTGAAGCCATCTGCTATATGGACTGCAAATTCTCATCCTGCTAATAATAGCCTTTCTTCTGTCCAGGGAACCTACCTAATATTGTGTCTTTCCGCTTGACTCTGACAGGAGAAACATCCCCTCCCAGCCCGCCCTTGTCTCCCTGAGAGTGGCCCCCTTCCAACATTCTCCAAAATAGGAGTTCTGTATTTCTCTTCCGATTAAAATAAACAAAACAGCATATGATCTTCCTATTACTCAAAAGTGAAAATAACAAAAATGGGTGGAGGTAAGGAAGAAAATTAAAATCAGCCACCACGCCGCAGTTAATATTGATGTGTTTGTGTTTATTTCCTCGCAGACTGTGTTGTTGTGTGAATGAATATTCTTGGACCCTGTATCAGCAGGTTCTGCCCCATTGGATTCAATCAACTGCAGATTGAAAGTATTTGGGGGGAAATTGCATCTGTAGTGAACATGGATGGACACTTCCTCATCATTATTCCCTGAACAATAGAGAATGAAAACCATTTGCGGCATTATCATTGGTGTGGGTGTTATAAGTCATCCGGAGAAGATATGAGACACGAGGAAGGTGTGCAGAGGTTACACACACACACACACACACTGCACCACATTATATAAGGGGATTTTGGCGTCTGAGGGAGTCTCAGAACTAGTCCCTGTAGATATAAAAGGACAGCAGTCATTTTGAATTTTAGAATAATTTGTGTGTGGCTTAATGTCCTTGACAAAAAGCAGTACATTGAGTTGCCCTATAAATTAGAGGTCCTGTTTTGGTGACACCTTAAAGAAGATTTGGCCAAGGACAACATTCTGGGTGTGATAGGCAGGCGTTTGAACTAAGAGAGAACTTAGGAACAGAGGCGACACTATTCACCCTCTGGGGGGTGAATAGTGGCCTAGCAGGTAACAGACATGAACTAATTGAGGACAGGGAGAGGGGAATTGTAACTGGCTGTCCCTTTGTCCTCCAATGGCTTCGGACTTCCCAAAGACATCAAACAAACAAAAGAGGAGACAAGAGGAAGAGAGTGATGAGCAGCCCTGCCCATGACCCCTGCTGTCCCTGGTGACTTCTGGCACTGTGGCACAGACTGGATTGGTCTACCTCTGAGCAGCCAAGATGGAGAGGGACCTGTTGAGTTTCACCATGGCGATTATGAGGAGGCCACCAGTCAGCAGGAAGGTGGGCCAGAAGAAGGAGAAGAGCAGGGTTTGGGGCCCATAGAGGCGCCGATACACAACGCTGGTCTCGACTTGAGGTGCAGAGAAGCAGTAGAAAGCCTGGTGCTCGTGGAAATTGGCTCTGACCTTCTCCACATCAGCCAGGGCCATCTGGTAGTTGTCCAGGTTGCTAGGGATATAGGAGCACTGTGGGGGGAAAGCAAGGATGCTTAGGTTCTCAGATGCTCACTTCGAAGAGGCTCAGGGTGAGGCTCTGGGGTATGAGGGAAAAAAAACAAACAAACCAAAAAACTTGGACTTGGGAGTCAGCCCCTGTAGAGCATGGTTGGTGTCTGTGTGTGGGTGGTGGCTTTGGAGCCACTCAGCACAGTTGGATGCAGGGCTCAATTGGAGTTCTGGTTCTGTTTGCTGTGAAATCGTAGGCAAATTGCTCGTCCTCTCTGACCCTTTATGATTTCATTACTGAGATGGATCAATAGTGTTACAGTGATGGTCTAGAGAATCATGACTTAACACAAGTCCAGGGACAAGGGGTTTCTATAAGCGAGCTCATGCAGGTAACAGCGAGGAGTGAAGCTAGGCAGGTAGCGTCAAGGCCTGGTGGAAGGGAGTGAGCCAGCTACATCCAGAAGGGAAGTCATCACTCCTGTGGACCAGAGACACCACACCATCCACCAACACATCCAGAGAAGCCAGAAAACCCTATTTTACTGCAAACTCCCAGGATTTCAACACCCTGGCTAAGATCCAAGCAGAAAACTCTTTGAAGTCTAATCCTGTGTGAACCAAAGAAAATATGTTGGCAAGTGGCTCTGTGACAGACTCCAAAGCAAAGGGGAAAAGTGCCAAAAAAGAGCTCCAGGCAGGCAGAGCACAGCACACAGTTAAGCTCTGGCACTGATGGTTGCTATTAGGAACCTTCTGGCCTGTTGAGATGATGAGACCCAGCTGCAGAGACAGCCCAGTGTGGAGACCTGGCTTTTATCTTTCCGTGCCAGAAGGACTGAATGCAGCCTGGATGAACCTTAAGACATACTTTGCAAGGATGGACCTCTCTACAGACCTGTAGGAGAATACTTCTGGGGTGTCCTTCAGCATAATCTCCTACCGTGTGGGGTACAGGCTCGGGGGAAGTAGAGAGTTTGAGGGCCATGTTCTAGTAAAGTCACATCCAAAGTCAAATATGAGGCCCAAGGGGCAAGTGTTGAGCTAGCATCTTCCCTAGGACCCTTACCTCCCAAGCTGCATGCTCTGTGGGCACTTGGTCCAGCGGCATGGAGATGCTTCAGCGTGTTGCTAATGTCAGATAGGGGAGCTGCAAGCAGGCGCAAGTCTCCAGTGAGCCAGGGAGAGCCGAAACTTCTGGAGAATCTGGCCCTCAGAGGTGCTGGGCACTGCAGGGTGTTTAGAAGCAGGACTATCACTGGCTAACCTTGCCCACTGAGCACAGATTTCTTTGTAGAGCCAGATAGGTCCAAGTTCAACCACAGCTTCCAAGCTGTGTGACCTTGGCAACTGGTGCAATCTCTTAAACCTTGTGAAGTCATTTTTAGTGGTATCTCCCGAGAACATCCCTAGGGATTAAACTAGGAAACTTATGTAAAGCACTTAGTGAAATCCCACATCTTATAAGTTCAAAAAGTGGAAGAATTAATAATAATAATCACAATAATAAAATATTGTTGCCTTACCTATGGATTAGAGTAACTGCAGCACTTTTGCCTGCTTGCAGCTCCTCCAGGTTCTACACTCTTGATGTGTTTGTCATGACCCTCACCAGCAGTTTCCTCTCCAGGCCAAGGAAAGGCCTGGGACCTTTGATCCCGTTCTGGCTGTCCTGCGACAACCTTCCCTCAGTTCGCTCCCTGAGCTGAAATGATACATCCCTGCCTCTAATCTGAGGCTTCACTTTTGTTAGGGTGGACTGCAAAGAGCCCCTTCTCCTTTGACTGAGATTCAGGGAAGGAGACAGAGCAGGTTGTGGAGGAGGAATGAGAGAGAGGCAAGCATGTCCAGAGGCACATTATCAACCCGGAACATCAGTCAGTCACGCATCCTGATGCTGGACCCGAGAGTGAAATATGCTTGACCGTCCCAGCAGGGCAGGCTCCTCTTCACTCTCTAGTTGTGGTTTGTGGGTGCTATGGTTTAACAAGCCCCCTTTTTCCCCCCTGGCAAAGAAGTCATACACACTGTTCACAATCCAAGCAGGGTTCAGACTAACTTCTGGTTCCTCTGGGCTGACAGCCTTAATCCAGTGTGCCAGGGGAATGGTGCCATAGACACAGTTTCTCATCTTTGAAAATGTTTTTCTCACTCCTGGAATAAATTAGAGTTTCTAAAGATGCCAAAGAGACAGCAGGAACCATTGGTAGAAGCTAATCCTGATGGGGCTCCGGGTTCTTGTCCCGTAGAGTCATGCTAACCATGGCCACAAGTCTGACCTCTATGTGCTGCCACCCCTAGCTTCTGTCAGCTGGTAGCTGACCCTGCATGGATTCTGGCTGTCTTTCCAGGATCTCTTGAACGGTGACCTTGGGCCTGAAGTAGCTTATACTAATAACATCCAACCTTAGATCATCTGGGGAGCTCCTCCGACTGATTATACTTAGGGGTTCTGTCTCAGCTGGTCTAGTGTAGAACTCTGACTTCTTTTAAGTCTAGATGGTTCTCATACATAATCAAAATTGAGATGCCCAAATATATGCTAATATTAATTTCATAGTTATACAGGAGAGGTTCTCGGGAAACAGAACTTAGTCCCTTTCAGCCACTCCTGGCCACATGTCCCACACCATCAGGTGACATTTCTGGAATCAGTCTTCCAATCACTTTTTTTACCTAGCTTTCTCCACTATGCCTATGCTAGTCCCACCACTGCTGGGCCTCCCTCCTCCCTGTTTCTGTCGCTACAGGAACTGCCTATTTTGAAAAGTCTGACCCAATATTACTCTGTTCCTGTCCTCACTACCAGCTGGAAATATCACCTGCTTCCTTGAGCCCCATTTCTCTCTGCTGCTCTCTGTGGCACCCCACCCCTCACACACACATAAAAAAAAAAACCCACACACAACACATACACAATTAATGTTCCTACATATGCTCTCTCCTCTTGAGACCCATGGGACTGATGTGGGGAGGCGCAGTGGTTGTTGAATGAACAGGGAAGTGAAAGAAAGGGAGGGAGGGAAGGGGACCAACTTGCCTGTTTGGTGGAGAGGGTTATGGTGGTGATAGGGGCTACAGGTTTGAGGGAAACTCTCTTAAATGTTTGTTATGGGAGTTGCTATAGTCTAGGCTCCAAGGTGGCCCTGGGATTTATTCAGCTCCCCTTTGGACTCGATTGGTGGAAGAAGTGTCTTCTAGTGACTGCTTCTCCTCTCTGAGGGTCCTCCATTTGCCAGCTCAGGGCTTTGCACATTTGCATACAGCACTGAATTTTAATGCAGCAGTTCTGGGTATGACATTAGCACCCACCAACAAGGGTGGAAATTGGGATCCACAGGGCCTCAGCGACCTTTCTCCAGCTGCCAATGAGGGGCAAATTCAAACGACCCACATCTGTCTAATTCCAACCCTGAAAATCCAAGGCTGACTTTTCATGCCATCCAGAAGACCCCATTCAAGTGGGTTAATATATCTTGGCTTTAGAAACATGGGCAGCTGGGGACAAGCTCACAGATCTGTCAGGGCTAGTACCCAGTCCCCATTCATTACCTGTTGGTTTTGGTCCTGAGTGTCCTCTGTGTGATACAACATGGCCCACTGGCCCACAACTGATACATTGACCCAAAGGCATGGGTACCGGGGCACCTTCTTGCCCTCCAGCTCCTCGTGGTCCTTGACGTTGGCTTCAATCAGGTGACAGGTAGACTCTTGGGTCCACACACTGGGGAGAGAACACACACACGAACACACACCTCAGAACAAGGGTGACACATACCCACTGGGAATCCCTGTTCCTCAGAGTCTTTGGAAAGGCCCAGGGCTGGCACCTTCATCCTGCCACCAGCATGTAACGCTATCTAGGTCCATGGCCCCAGAGTCCTGGACTCTGGCGTGAATCACAACAATTTCAGACGAGTTGGCTCTTGGGATTTTTTTCTACATAATGGTTCTCCGCCCTTGCTACCCACCCCATGCCTAAGAACTTTTTAAAAAGATCCCCATGACTGAATCCCATTCTAGAGAAAGCAAGGCAGAATTTCTCAGGAGCTTGGGCCTGCGCTCTGGCATTGTTTAACATACTCATCACGGGACTGTGAAGAGCAGCCAAGTCTGAGACCCTCTTCCCCATATCATCTCCAGGTCACAGATGTAGATGAAAACCTCAGAGGGGATAGGTGACTTTTGCGGGGGGAAACACAACACCTGAGGCAAGGACTGAGGGGCTCCAGAATCTCTGCCCTTTCCCCTAAAGAACTGTATCAGGGGCTTGATATAGTTATGCTGGAGGGCGGCAGCATAGCGCTGGAGAGCCACAGGCCTGCTCAGCAGTCCCTCATTCGGGTGGCACTCAGGCCTGGCCCGACGGTGGTGACATTATAAAGCAGGAACGCAGAGCAGGCCCAGGAGAGGTCAATAGGCTCTTCAATGCCTAAGCGAATGGATTGTGACTTAGCTGTCTGTATCCTGTGGGAGACCCGCTGCCAGACAGGAGAAGGTTGTTGGCAGCCAGAGTATGCCCGGAAGCCTCCTCAGCCAAGGCTGGGCTGAGAGAGCACTCAGGGACTTCACAGCTCTTCTTTAAAAGCTGGAGGCATGACATGCCAGGGAGTGAGGTGCAAGGGTATGGAGCACTCTCCAAGATTCCTGCCTAGAGTTTGGGGGACCAGATGTCAGCTGAGTAGAGAAACTCCCTACTTAATGGAAAAACCCAGGCAAGTAAAGGTGTGCCCTGCAAAGAGAGAGTCCATCTCGGATTCATGCGTGCAGACTGCTGCCAGTCTGCGGTGCCCATCCTCCCTCATGTGGCACACTCTCACTGGAGGGTTGTATCCTGTGCCTGTCACCACCAGGTCCTGGACCAGCAAGGCACTTACTTGTCTGCTTCTCCAGCACTGGAACCTATAAGCTGAAGGATGTGAACTGCCCTTTCTGTCCAGCTTGCTGAGAGGGGTCAAAGGTAGAGCAGGTAGAAAAGGCTGGGGTTCCTCCAGGCAGAGGGGAGGTTCCTACCTTTTCTGGTAGAGAGGCAGCACCGTGGTACCCAGGATATAGTAGGTGATGGCAGCACACACTACCATTGTCACCCCCAGGCAGAGGGCTCGCGTCTCTCCGCGCTTCTGGGCCATCACCAGCTTCTTCCCCATAGCCACTAGGGGGCAGCAGTCATTTTTGGCACCACGAAGGCAAAGAGAAATGGGAATAGAAGGAAGGTCAGGTGAGAGGGATGCGATCAAACACCAGCACCGCTCTTATTCTGCATGGAGCTTGGCAACTTCCACAGGGCAGCACCCTGTGGTGCAGGCCCCACCCTGGCCCCAGGCCGTCTGCTAACAGCCAGTGATTATTTTTTCAACACTCAGAACCCATTATCACCAATTATTTCTCTGGGAAACTGGGCACACTTATCAGGGATTCCTCATGGTGACTTCTTCCAGTGAGCCCTCTGAGACTGCCGGGCATTAAGGTTAGAGCGTGGGAGTTCAGAAGGGCAGGAAAGGGAAGCACCTGTTCCAGTGGAGTCCAACCCTGTGACTTGCCCCAGTCCCACCGCCTGCAATATCCTGATGGCTCACCAGCCTCCTGGAGTGAGTTCTAAAAGAAACACTAGCTCCTGTGCTCAACCATGGATTCTGTTTAAATGTAAAACATAGGTGGGGATCTGGGATTCTGGAAGCCTAACAAGAATCTCCAACAGAAAGGAGGATGCAGACCGTTGATGTCCCACATGGCCTAGACAGGAAGACGTGTGTTTCTTTGATAAAAGAAGGGATTTCAGTTATACTGTAGGGAGAGTGTCCCAGTGAGATGCTAAGTGTATCTCAGGACACCTTAGATCAAACTTTCTATGGCGAAAATTCACCCTAGATCTGGGCTGGATTTAGGGACATTGGAAAAATAGTTAAAGAAGAGCCTTGTGTGGCTTAACCATCGGGGTGGGTGACAGCCTCTTCCTTAGAAGGCCCGAGGATAGAGTTTATTTGAGGGGGAGTGTAGAGGAGAGAGGGTCTGAGGTCATCAGACATGAGATCAAGTCCTGGCTTCGCTGCTTAGCAACCACGTGACTGTAAAAACAAGAAAAATGGTACCCACCTCAGAGTCCCAGTGCGGCCTACCAATACTGTCGAGCATCACAAATTTGCCACAGTGGAACCCTCCATACACAGTAGCTGCCATTAACTGGGGAGTCGAAAGAGCACGGGGCACTTTCCAGGCCTATCTGTTATCCCTCTACTTATGACAAGTGACCAGACTGTTCCTGGTCCCCGAGCTGGCCACTGAAGTGACTCTCAGACCTGAGTCAACATGCCAGGTCCTCTGGCGCCAGAACTCAGAAGGGCAACAGAGGAGGATGGGGAGGAAGGGGTTTCCACCTCCCTATCTGTGCCATAGCAGGCTGCCCTCTGTCTCCCACCATCGCCCCTCAGCCCGGGCTTCCAGAAGCCCTTGTAAACTCTCTGGGATGCAGTACTCACAGTTCACTGGGTCTCCACTGGCAGATGGTTTCTCTCCACCCGGTTCCCCGCCCCCACCCCAAGTCAGGCTTTAGCAGGAAGTTTGGTCTCCCAGTTGGTCTCCAGGGAAGCAGTCTTCAGTCCCGGCTGGGTATAGCCTCCATGCCCATACATGGTCAGGTCTTAGCACACAGCTTGCCTCCGGGACAAAAACTCCACAAGCAGGTACAGAGCCCTGAAGCCCTCAGCTGCTGCTGGGGACTCTGCCCCTGCATTTCCCTGAGTCTCCTGGGAAACAGATGTCAAGCAGCGAAACCCATTGCCCCCCTCACCAAGACCCATCCTTATATATACAGAAATGTTTCTTCTACGCTCCATCTTCCATCTCTCTGGCTAGCAGGGAGTCCAGGAATAGGAAATGATCTTCCTCGTGTGGTGCAGGGGAGGGAGGTATAGGGGTTGGGCTTATCACTAACTCTGATCTATCCAACCCAGAGTAGCCAAAGCTTCCCTGCCTTTGTCACTGACATCCTGTGTGGCTCTGAACAAGTCAGCACACCTCTCTGGGCCTCCGTTTTCTCATGTCTATCATTAACGTTTTGAAAACTTAACTTTGTTCAGGATTGTGGTGCAGTTAGAGATGGAGGAATCCTGAGACGGGCGGACACCCCATCTTTTAAGGACCACTGGCACTGAGGCTGGAAGTAAGGAGCCCCCCAGTTGCTTCCAGCCAGCTATCCAGGTCCAGAGTCAGTGCCGTGTTGGGAATCTCCTACAGACCACCTTTGTCTCATAGGCAGACACTTGTTGCAACCGAAAAGACAACAGAACATCGGTTCTGGGAGCAGACCTGCTTCTGCACCCCAGGTGCTCATGAATAAAGACTAGAGTTGAGAGTTAAGAGCCAGGCAGTAATGGCACATGCCTTTCATCCCAACACTAGGGAGGCAGAAGCAGGTGGGTGAGTTCGAAACCAGCCTGATCTACAGAACTAGTTTCAGAATAGCCAAGACTACACAAAGAAACTCTGCCTTCAAATTTTTTTAAAAAAAGTAGAGTTGAAAAAGCAAGAAAAACAAGCCACACACACACACACACACACACACACACACACACACCGTGACGCCCTGATATGCATCTGCATGGGACTGAGGCCTGCAGACTTGATGGCTAGTCGGAAATTCCTCTAGTTGATGTGCAGATCCGAATTAGAAGCTAGCCCGCTTAGTGGCACATCCCAGCCATCCCTGCCTACCAGGAGGCTGCTCCAACACCTGATATCGTACCTATGATGATATGTTCCCAGCCACCTGAAGTTCTGGAGGTCTCCTCTGGTGTCCCCAGCCCCAGCGCAGTGTGTGCAGCTGAGATATTCCTGCCCAGTGAGTGTTCTCACTTCTCACAGAAGCCTGCTGCCTAATGATGAGGAGGTGACCTGGGGCCCAGAAGGAAAGCTGTCACTCAGGGCTCCTTGAGCACCATCCCATCCCTCTTTTCTCAATGACTCTAACAAGAGAGCTAATCATCTGTTTCATGGGCCTCGTACCAAATGGAGATGTACTAGTGTGTATGTAAATGCATGTAGGGGTTCCTGTGTGGTTTATGCATATGTATGTGGTATGTGTGGATGGATATGTGTGGTATGTGTGGTATGTGTTTGGTATGTGTGTGGTGTGTGATATATTCATACATGTGTGAATGCATGGAGTCTGGAGTGGGGACACTAGATGTTCTGCTCTATCACACGCCACCTTACACAGGAAATTTCACGGAGCCTAGAGCTAGGAGGATGGGCAGCATTTTCCAGCAAACCCATGTCCCTGCTGCTTATGGTGCTTAGGTATGCACCTAGCTATGCCCAGGTTTTTACATGGGTACTGGGGATTTGAACTCAGTCCGTAAGCAGGTGAGAATTCTTACCCGCTCAGTCTTACAGACAGGGATCTCTTAAAGTATAGGGGACAGGAAAATTGACAATGAGGGGAAAATATAAATATGAGATAAATCCTTAGGAGAAGATTTTTCCAATGATGGGCCATTGTCCCTTCAAGGACCAAAAGCTTTTTCCTGGAACCTACAAAATAACTCAGAAATTTCTCCCTTGGGAGAGAGATGTGGGCGATAGATGGTCCTTTATGAATGTCAGCAAAGGGCCTGTTAATAATCCACGCAGTGGGTGAGGAAACTTTACACAGTTGGGATTTATAAACACTGTGGAGCTTCCCAGTGGTTTTTTTTTCCTTTTGGAAATAGAACAAATCAGTGACAGCACCTGCTGCCCTCAGCTGAATGACAATCAAAACACAAAGGCAAGCCTTGCTCCCCCTCTAGAATAAGCTAGTGAAATTCTCAGATCCTAGCTGAGTTTGGGAGGGTTAGGGTTAGTATGTGTGACAGGTGGCCACAGGTGAAGGAGACAATGGTGCCATACCTGGAAAGTTTGATGGTTCTTGGAATGTCAGTGTGGTGAAATGTTGAAAAGAAAATGTCCCCCATAGGGAGTAGTATTATTAGGAGGTGTAACCTTGTTGGAGTAGGTGTGGCCATGTTGGAGGAAGTGTGTCACTGTGGAAGCGGGCTTTGAGGTCTCCTGTGCTCAAGCTGCACCCAGTGTGGACAGTTCACTTCCTGTTGCCTGTGGATCAAGACATAGACCTCTCAACTCCTTCTCCAGCACCATGTCTGTCTGCAAGCTGCCATATCTCACCTCATGGACTAAACCTCTGAAACCGTAAGACAGCCCCAGTTAAATGTTTTCCTTTATAAGAGTTGCCGTAATCATGGTGTCCCTTCACAGCAATAAAACCCTAACTAAGACAATCAGAAACCATGAAACACCTCCAACTGTATCCTTCCAACAAACTCTGTGATGGTAAGTACAAGGCTCACAGCAGTACTCTGAGGTAGAGGCTTTCTACCTATTTTTAGGGATGTAGCTGAGGCTCATTGGGTTAAGTTGCCCAAGACAAGTCACCTGGAACCCTGTTCTGTCCTTCTCCAGGAGAGAGATACTTGTGCCATCCACCCTGCGTGACTTTAAAGACTGGGAGCTCATCTAAGAGCCTGGCACACAGTGTTGAAAGTGTGCTTTCCAGAGACAGCCACTCCACATACCATCTCTGCCCCCTACAGAGCAGTACTCATGGCTCTGCTTTAGCCTGGGTGGACCTCTGTCACTGCCCACGCAGACAACAGAATATGCTGATGGGTGCACTGCCTGATCACCAAGGATGATTTTATACTTAGGGCTAAAGCATCCCCTGAGCACCCATACCTCAGGAAGCTGAATACAGGTTGCAGGCAGTTAATATCTCTTTCCAGGCATGAAGAGTGATCACACCCAAAGAGGGTTGCAGTCCTACACTGGAGCGGAATCAAGTCTGCTTGCTGAAAGCCTTGGACCATAGAGCAGGAACAAACCAACCCTCTGGCTCTCTCAATTCCAAATCTACAAATCCAAGAGCAGAGGAAACACATGGTTCATGCCTCTGGGTATACTTTGAGTTGATTTGCTGCACAGTTGTCATAGCAAGCATATAGTCAGGGATTTTAAATGGGGTGGTCCCTGTTGCTGGTGGTGGAAGGACCAAGCCAGTAGGGGTCAAAATCTGAGATGACCTCACTGATGGCAATGCAGAGCTAGGAAACTCCAGATCTACCCTCCCATTCACTCACACTGCTGCATGTTTGGAACCAAAGGGCAGCCAGGAGTGGGTGTTTCTATTTCCTGAGCATCTACAATGTGCCATGGTACAGGCTATTGGTCAGCTCTTCATGGCTGATAGGTGTGTTTTGACTCCTGTGTTCAGAGGCTTCAGCTCTGGTAGACTGGCTCTGTGGCCTGCAGGGCTGTGATGAGGATGCAGTGCAGACAGGAGCATGTGGTGGGAGGGGGCCAGGATGAGGGATGGGATGAGGAACGGGATGCAAACAGAGAAAGGGTCCAGGAACACAAGGATGATACACCCTTCAAAAGCACATTCCTGGTGACCTAACATTTCCACCACCTCCCTGTAGCGCCATCTGCTGGTGACCAAGCCTTCGAAACATGACAAACATTCAAGAATCCAACCAGAATACAAACCTGTATGGTTCACAGTCCTTCCTTCCTTTTTGCTGCTTTATATATCCATTGTGAACAGAAAATATTTAACAGAGTGTTCCAGAAATAAACTATTAGTAAGTTTTAAATAGCTTTCATTCTGGTGTCCTGCTTTAATTACTAGTAGTTATTATCTCTGGCTGTGCCTAATGTATAAATCTAACTTTGTCATAGGTGTGCACGTATAGAGAAACCCATTCTCCATGGAGTTCGCTGGTCTCTGTGGTCGCAGGTGTCCAGGGAAAGTCTTGCAAAGTACACAAATACACATCCATTCCTGTCAACAGTCCCCACAAAGACCTGTGTTTTCTGTCAACACACAAAACAGGTGATTTTCCCAGAGCCATGCCCCAGAATGGGATATAATAGGTCCTGGTCCTGAATCTGTGCCCACTGACTCAACAGCCCCTGTCACCCATGACACCCATGACAGCGGTTGCCAAGAGAATCATTGTGTCTCTATGGCAATGGCTCTCAACCTTCCTAATACTGTGACCCTCTAATACAGTTTCTCAATTTGTGGTGGCCTCCAACCATAGAATTATTTTCATCGTTACTTCATAACTGTAATTTTGATACTGCTATGAATCATAATGTAAATATCTGATATGCAGGATGCTTGATATTCGAACCCTATGAAAAGGTCATTCGAATCTCCCCCCCCCCAAAAAAAAACAGTTGCCATCCCCAGGTTGAGCCCTACTGCTCTCTGGTGACTATGCAGCTGATGTGCAGCCCCCCTCAGTCTCTTTTCCGATTTGGCATCGCTTATTTATGAAAGTGTCTTTGAAGCATCTAGCTTCCACCAACCTTGGTGAGTGAGTCCCATAAACCAGTCAGGTCTGGAGCCTCTGCTCAGTGTGCATCATTTTCTGAGTGCAGCAGGCAGAATGAAGCCAGTGGCCCCAGGACATACACCTCAGGGTACCCCATGCCGAGGCTCTGAGTACATTTTTGCTGCTCCAAATATGATCAGTCTCAT